CGGTTTCCATCATACGCTAGCTGCTTGACAGACACCAGTTAAACCTGTTGGCTTTTTATACTGCCCCAGGTACAAGAATATAGTGGTTTCCAAGGTTAGTTAGTACCTGAAGTCCCCTCATTGGGAATGAACACTGATGCAAGTGAAAGACTCTAATTAGAAGTCCTTCAGAAAAGGCTGCTTCAGGGCTTTAGCTGTCTTCATAGTGGATCAATGAAGTTAGGCCTTTATTCATTAACCTAATGTTGTTAGAAAGAATTTTTTTTTCTACTGGTGAAATGATCCTAGAAATATTCTCAGACACTCTGGCCCTTGCATGAACAGAACCTGGTGAGCCCAGTACTGTACCTCCTTCAGAACAAGGCCCTGGGTCTAGGATTTGGGGTTCAGAGTCTTCTTGAGGATTTTACTGTCAGACCACGGTTAGGATGAGCTGATCCTGCTTCTAGAATGTGGCTGCATCTGCCTCGAGAAATCATTCATGCAAAGAGGTATCAGACAGACAGCTGGTATTTCAAGGAGCTTCCAGAAAAATCTGAGTAACTATTTATGAGGCAGCTTGATAATAAATGCTTGTATGCATGGCAGGATTCAGCTGACTCATATTTTCATTGTATCTTTCTCGATGAACAGAAGTTCTTATATTTAATGTGTTCAAATAAATCAATCTTTTTGTGCTTTGTATGCTTTTTGTATCTTTAGAAATCCTACACCTAGAGATTATAAATATATTTTCCTGTGTTATCTCCTAAAACCTTCTGTAACATTGCCTCTTACAGTTACGTCTTTAATTTTCTTGGAAATGATTTCATGTGTGGTGTGAGGCAGGGGTTAGTTATCCTTTTTATTTTTTCTTCCCATGTGGATACCCATTTGTTGAGGAATGATCTGCAAGGCTGCCTTTGTCAATATCACAGTGTCTATCCAAATACACACAGATCTGTTTCTGGGTTTTCTATTTGTTTCAAGGGTTTGTCTATCCCTTGTGCTAATACTGCACTATGTTAATTACTGTAACTTTACAATAGGTCTGGTAAAGCAGAAAGTTTCTTCCATTGCAAAATACACCTGGTAGCTAGCGTTGTGATATCATCTGTAGCCCTCATCTATCTCTATCTGTTAGAGACCTTCAATTTCTACTAAAATAAAGCTAGTTGTGATAGATCAAATTGGTTTAAGTCCGTTCACAACGTCAGTAACAGATACCCAAATGTCATGTAACAGCCTATGTAGTCTATAAAAGAAAGGGATTGTTTCATCTCTCTCCAGGAGGGCAGTTGCTTTGAAGCTGAGCCCAGGGAATCTGGCCAACCCAAACTCCAAATATCCGCTCTATTTCTTACATTTAATTAATAGTGGGGGTAGTAACTTCCATGTGGCTCATTTAATATAAGCAGTTTCCTCCCTGTGGTTAGTACAGGTGAATTGATTATCTCTGTACCATTTCAAGCATCAGGCAGATGCAGACAGCTGCTGCTATCCTGTATTACTCCCAGATTTTAAATTTCCTTTTCAAAACCAAAAGTCTAGGAGTTGGTGAAGCCCTGGGTGTGAGGAAAGTCTGACTCTGGAGAGAAGTCATGTGGGCTAGGGAAGAGGCAAAACAGGCTGATTTGGGCTGAGGGAGAACAGATTCTGGGGAAGGTATGAACTGGAACTTCCTGGCTGGGCAAGGTGACCCCCTTTTTTTTTTTTGAGATGGAGTCTCACTCTGTTATCCAGGCTGGATGGAGTGCAGTGCCACAATCTTGGCTCACTGCAATCTCCAACTCCTGGATTCAAGCTGTCCTTCCATCTCAGCTTCCCAAGTACCTGGAATTATAAGTATGTGCCATTATGCCCAACTAATTTTTGTATTTTTAGTAGAGTCAAGGTTTCACCATGTTGGCCAGGCTGGTTTCGAACTCCTGACCTCAAGTGATCTGTCTGCCTCGGCCTCCCAAAGTGCTAGAATTATAGGTGTGAGTCACTGTGCCTGGCCATTTTGTTAACGGTACCTTTTGAGATATAGAAGTCTGTAAGACCATTTAATTAAGTTCAGTTTTTTTTTTTTAAGGCTCACACTTTTGGGGTCATAGCTAAAAACTGCCCAACTCAAGGTTGTGATAACTTTCTCCTATGTTTTCTTCCATTAGTTTTACAGTTTTAGCTCTTATATTTAGGATTATAATCCACTTTGAGTTGATTTTCATGCATGGTATTAGTGTCTAACTTCATTTTTTTCATGTGTATAGCTGTTGTGGGCTATATTGTTTTGCTCCCCACCCCCCATTCATATATTAAAGTCCTAACCCCTAATCCCCCAGAATGTGAATATATTTGGAAACAGGCTCTTTAAAGAGGTAATTTAAAGTAAAATGAAGTCATTAGGGGCGTGCCTTAATCCAATATAACTGTGTCTTTACAGGAAGAGGAGATCAGGACATAGATAGCTACAGAAAAGACCTTGTAAAGACACAGGGAGAAGAGCCATCTCATCTATAAACCAAGAAGAGAGGCTGCCTAGACTTCCAGCCCCCAGAACTGTGAGAAAATAAATGATGTTGTAAGCCACAGTCTGTGGTATTTTGCTATGCAGCTCCAGGAAACTAATGCAACAGCTGACTGTCCCAGCTGTGTGTTAAAAGACTATCCTTTTTGGCCTGGCATAGTGGCTCACGCCTGTAATCCCAGCACTTTGGGATGCCAAGGTGGGTGGATCATTTGAGGTCAGAAGTTTAAGACCAACCTGGGCAACGTATAGTGAAACCCATCTCTACTAAAAAAAAAAAAAAAAAAAAAATTGCCAGGCCTCGTGGTGGGTGCCTGTAATCCCAGCTACAAAGGAGGCTGACGCAGGAGACTCGCTTGAACCCAGGAGGCGGAGGCTGCAGTGAGCTGAGATTGTGCCACTGCACTCCAGCCTGGGCAACAGAGCGAGACTCCATCTAAAAAAAAAAAAAAAAAAAAAAAAAGGACAATTCTTTTCCCATCGAATTGTCTCGGCACCTTTGTGGAAAATCAACTGCTCAAACATTTTGTAAGATTTTATTTCTGGACTCAGTGTTGTCCTGCTGACCTGTGTGCCTATTTTTGTCAGTCCCGTGTTATCCTGATTACTGTACCTTGTAGGGAGTTTTGAAAATGGGTAGTATGGCTCCTCTAACGTTCTTTTTCAAAAGTGTTTTGACTGTTCTGGGTCCTTTATATTTCTACATACACTTTAGGATTTGCTTGTCAATTTCTATTAAAAAACCTACAAAAAAGATTTTGACAGGGATTGTATTGAATATGTAGATTCATTCTGGGAGGAGTTCCATTTTAACAATACTGAGTCTTTCAACCCACAAGTATGGAATGTCTCTCCATTAATTTAGATCTTCTTTAATTTTATTAAAATGTTTTGTAGTTTCATTATATAAATCCTGCACTTCCTCTGTTAAATTTATTTCTAAGCATTTCATTCTTTGTGTTGCTATTTGGAGTTGGTCTGTTTTCTTTATTTCGTTTCTGGATTATTTGTTCCTAAGATATAGAAATACAACCATTTGCTGTATACTGAGCTTTTATCCTGATCTTACTAAACTCAGTTATTTGTTCCAGCATTTTTCTGATGGATCTCTTATGATTTTCTACATAGAGAATCATGTCATCTGTGAGTTAAGAGTTCTATTCCTTCCTTCCCAATCTGAATGGCTTTTCTTTCTTTTTTGTGTGCTTACACTGACTAGTCCCCCAGTAAAATGTAGAACAGACGTGTAAGGGTAAACATACTTGCTTTGTGCCTGATTTGAGGGGGAGTTTGTTCACCGCTCCATTTAAGAAACATTTCTTGCTATTCCTACCCCTCTCCTATCAGAATCGCTAGTGGTTTTAAGTTGGAGAAATAAATACCAAAGATAAGAAAAGCTGCTAAACAAAATAAAAACATGCCTCGTTCTGACTATAGTCTCAAGACAAATGAAATATAACCAAAAGGCAGGTCCCTTGTTTTTTAGAACATTCAAGGGACAGGAAGCTGCTGTACCATCAAACAAGAGGGGTTGGTTAAATATCTTTTGAAGCATGCATGTATAATGGAATACTATACGGTCATTAAAAGTAGGCTTAAAAGGATTTTTTTTTTTTTGAGACGGAGTCTCGCTCTGTTGCCCATGTGGGAATGCAGTGGTGTAATCTCATCTCACTGCAACCTCCGTCTCCCAGGTTAAATCGATTCTTCTGCCTCAACCTCTCAGGTAGCTAGGACTATAGGTATGTGCCACCACACCTGGCTAATGTTTGTATTTTTAGTAGAGACGGGGTTTCAACATGATGGCCAAGCTGGTCTCAAACTCCTGACCTCAGGTGATCTGCCTGCTTTGGCCTCCCAAAGTGCTGAGATTACAGGCGTGAGCCACCATGCCTGGCCAAGAGGATGTTTTAATAGCAGAGAAAGTCTCATATAAGAATTAGGGTAGGCCGGGCATGGTGGCTCATGCCTATAATCCCAGCACTTTCGGAGGCCAAGGGGGGTGGATCACAAGGTCAAGAGATGGAGACCATCCTGGTCAACATGGTGAAACCCCATCTCTACTGAAAATACAAAAATTAGCTGGGCATGGTGGCATGCGCCTGTAGTCCCAGCTACTCGGGAGGCTGAGGCAGGAGAATTGCTTGAACCCAGGAGGCGGAGGTTGCGGTAAGCCGAGATCCCGCCATTGCACTCCAGCCTGGGTAACAAGAGCGAAAATCTGTCTAAAAAAAAAAAAAAAAAAAAGAATTAGGGCAAAAGAGAAAGAGAGACAAAATAACACATATTGAATGCTCTCAACATCATTAAGAAATGCACATAAAGAAAAGGTGGAAAGGAAATATATAAATCCCTTAATAACTGTTGTCTCTTGGTTTAATGACCTTCCCCCCGATTTCTTTACATTCCATTGAATTGCATAAATTTTTATCAATGAGCATCTTGTAGTCAGAAAAAGAAAACAGAATACACCTACAGGGAAGACTGTGTGGGCATTTCCCAGCCTTACCTTACAGTATTCATCAATTGGTATCAGGCGTTTGACAGCCACGTCCCGGATGTGGCTTCGTCTGAAGAGAATCTTACCTGCAGAAGATGAGAGCAAAGACAGTGTTGTCAGGGCAACCTGAGAGGGTGTGGACATGGCTGTTTCTAAGGCAGGTCTGAGTGGTGCTAACATTCCTGGCTGTGATCAAGGTACTCCTGCTGGGCTTCTGTGGGGCTTGGATAAGCCCATGTTAGGTCCCCTAACCCCTGTTCACAGCTTTAGCTCAAGAGCTTGGGGGAATTGGACCCATGGTATACGTTTTGGTGAGATAAGGGAGGCTGAAAACAATTGTGGAAGGAAGCCACTCCTATCCGATGAAGAAAGAAGGTTGGACCCAAGGATGTGAGGTCCTGTCCAACTCCAGGATACTGATTGGGTGAGAGGACAGTGGGTAAGCAGACATGCCCTCAGCAATAGTTCAGTCTCCTTCTCCCCTTTCTTCATTCACCTTCTGCTTTCTCCTCATGTTCCCTAAACACCCATGCTCTGCCATTCTGAGCCCTCCCGTCTGCCTGCACACAGCCCATGCAACCCCACCACCCCCTCATATGGGTTAAGAGTTCTTGGCTCTTTCTGACTGCACACATTATTTATTTTTATAGCACTTCTTTTAAATTTATTAAATTAAATTTTAATTTAAAAGAATTTAAATTTATCAAGTTAATTATTTAATATTTATTATATATAATACATAATTTAATATAAATTATTTAATTAAATTTAAAATTTAACTTTAATTTTTAAAAAGCACTTCTTTTTAATTTACAGCACATTCCTCCCTCCCTCCTTCCCTCCCTTCTTCTTTCCTTCCTTTCTTCCCTCCTTCCCTTTCTCCCTCCCTCCCTCTCTCCCTTCATCCTTCCTTCCTCCCTCCCTCCCTTTCTACCAGTCCTGTCATATGCGCTGCACAAATAGGAACTGACTGCATCTCAGTCCATTTTGTGACACTAATGTTTGATAAATGTATGAATGTGGCTTCCACCTACAAAGATGACAAATCCCTCCAGTTCCTTCCCCAATTAGTGTTTGTAAGAGAAGGGTTTTGAGTCCTCCTATTTCACCCAGTATTAACTGAGAGTCCACTACCTGCTTTATGACATCTGAAACTCTGGGGCATGGGGCTATGAACCACCGGTATGACACATGGGTGGAGAATGTGAGTCACAGGAAAACATGGGTATACACATGATGCCACTGAAGATCTCTGGAAATATCCAAGACATTGATATATCATGGGTGACGTTTGTTTAAAGCAAATCAGTGGGCTCTCAAGAGTCTAGATAGAATATCCTCTCTTTGGGAGATGGAGGTGAAACATACAAACTAAAGATTAAGGCCACCTGGCTCACCATTCTGGATTTCCCACAGTCGGAGGTGGGGGAAATCAGAAAGAAGACATAAAGAAGGGCCAAAGACATGGGGGATGGAGATAAGCACCTCTACCAAGCTCATGCAAAGTGACTAGGGGGAATCTATGGGTAGGTCAAGGGGAAGGTGTGGGAGGACCACAGCTGCTCTAGAGAGCAGAGCATGGAGACCTACTAAGAGCTCTCTATATTTTCTGGTCCTAGGATGTTGGTTAAAAAGATGAATTTGGGTCAAGAGCCTGGCAAGGTGAGGAGAGATTACTTTTGATCTAAGATGGTTTCTGGTGAGATGGCTGTCTCCACAGATCAAGCTTGGGTGAGCAGGGATAGGATGGCATAGAAAAGGCTAGTAAGGGCTGGGCACGGTGGCTCGTGCCTGTAATCCCAGCACTTTGTGAGGCCGAGGCAGGTGGATCACTTGAGGTCAGGAGTTTGAGACCAATCTGGCCAACATGGTGAAACCCTGTGTCTACTAAAAATACCAAAAAAAAAAAAAAAAAAATCAATCAGCCAGGCATGATAATGCATGCCTGTAGTCCCAGCTACTCGGGAGGCTGAGGCCGGAGAATCACTTGAGCCCAGGATGTGGAGATTGCAGTGATCTGAGATCACGCCACAGCACTCCAGCCTGGGTGACAGAGTAAGTGAGGCTCCTTTTCAAAACAAAACAAAACCAAAGAACGGTTAGTACAGTAAGAGTTTTCATAATATGACAGAACTGGAAGGGATGCTGAAAAACAACCCTACTGACTTTTAAAGATTTGCAATGCAAAATGGTAAAGGAGATTTGCACCCAAAAAGACCATATGGCTACTCCAACATTTGAAATAATTGGACAACTTTCTCTGGTGCCAAAGGACACTATTTGGAAACTAGGTAGACATGGCAAATAAAAAAAAGAGATAAAGTCTTTTTTTCTCTCTCATTTTCACCAATTAAAAAAATATCTAGGCTGGGCAGGGTGGCTCACGCCTGTAATCCCTACACTTTGGGAGGTTGAGGTGGGCGGATCACCTGAGGTCAGAGGTTTGACACCAGCCTGGCCAATGTGGTGAAACCCCATCTCTGCTAAAAATACAAAAATTAGCTGGGCGTGGTGGCACATGCCTATAATCCCAGCTACTAGGAGACTGAGGCAGGAGAATCGCTTGAACCTGGGAGGTAGAGGTTGCAGTGAGCCAAGATCCTGCCACTGCACTCCAGCCTGGGAGACAAGAGCAAAACTCTGTCACAAAAAAACAAACTCTAGATGAATCAGCTTCACAAAGTTCGAAGTGCTTTTGTCTGAGGAATAGAAGAGAATTCTGGTTTTCTTCTTTACACTTTCTCCTCAGTTCCTCCCGTAAACATTTATTGCTTTTAGAATCAGCAAATTTTCATGTCATTAGCAAAAAAAGTAAATGAGGCAGTGAAGTGGGAGGGGTTTTGCAACTGGATTTCCTTGGAGCCTATGATCTTATTCACTGACCAGGTACAGTCTCTGTGAGCCCTTTCTGTGCCATGCTTTGGGGCTAGTGGGGAGCAAGACAGCTATGCCCTGCCCTCCTGGTGCCGACAGCTGGTGTTTCCCAAAAGCAGGGGAGGGGGACCCTGCTGGAGTTTGGGTGGGGCAATGCTTCCCTGGACTGGCCCTGCCCTATAGGGTGTTTAGCATCCTTGGTCCAAATCCAGATGAAGCTGGTAGCCTTCCCAACCCTACCCACCTCCAGTCATTGTGACAATCAAATATTCCCCATCTCCATTTTATTGTCCTCGTAGGTGGAACTACTTGCAATATAGAGCCCCAGGAATGTCCTGAGCCTTCAGGAAAAAACAAAGAATGTGTGCCTATGAAGAGAAATCCTACCCAGCAAATGCTCCCTGCACTCGAATTTATCTGAAAATGGGAGAGGGGTCCCTAGTCAAAATATTTTGGTCCCTTTCTGTAAATTTTTCCTCTGTAAAACAGGGGAAGGGTGGAGGGTGGGTGTACAGGCATCTTACTGAAAAGGTCGTGAGCAGGCTCAAAATATCTCCAACCTCATGGGACAGCACTGGCCCATGGCAATAGGCACAGGCTTGTCCTGAGGCTGCCACCGACTAGAGACCAAAGGTAAGGATCCATACAAGGCTTGATCTACTGGAGCTGAGAGGGAACAGAAGACTCGGGTGCACTCAGCATTTCCTGGGGGGTGACACAAGGACAAAAGTGTCACTCCTGTACCTGTGTGACCTCAGTGAGATGGGAATCTCTGGGTGCATGTCTGGTGCCCTGCCAGCAATGAGGGCAGGATGCCCTGTGGCAGCAGTGGGGCCTACTGGAGAGGCTCTGCAGTCAGTGAGGCCCTGGCCAATCCCAGACAGCGCTGCTTTGGGAAATGCATTTACCTTCCGGAGCCTCAGTCTCCTCATCTGTGAAATACGACAGCAGCCCCTAGCTCTTAGAAGGCGTCTCCATGATACCCAGCACAGGGGTGGCCCTTAGTAGGTGCTTGCAAATGGGCAATTCCTTATTATTTTTTTTAGACTTTAGATGACTCATGCACTCCCAGCTTTCTTAAACCTGCCTCCTATGGGCTAATTTGTCATTTATCCATAGCAGAGCCCGAGTTGTGGCTCAGGTCCTGGCTGTGGGGCAGAACTGTGTGGCCAGTGGTAGGCATGGGAGCCAGCACCGCCTTGGCCTGAGCCTCCCTGGTGAGGACCCATGGGCAGCAGCCCTGGCCTGTGCCTGACGTGAGTGTTTCTGAGAGCATCTCAGGGAAGCAGGGGAGCCGGCTGCCTTCCTGGAGTGGAAAGGGTGTTCAGAGGCGAGCGCGGCCTTTGCTGGGAACGGTTGGCTTTTGTTTTCCACCGAGGAGGAAGGCCAGACTGTAATTCCTATTTTTCAGGCAGCATCCTCTGCCAAGTTGGCTTCCCCAGCTCCTGCTGGGATGGAAAACTGTGCAGGCTGCTCTCCCCTCCCCCGTCTTTGTGCTAACATGAGACTTGCTTTTGTTCTGCTGACGCGGCAGTCTTGGCAGAAAACTGACCCTAGAAGAGGGGGCGCTTCTCTGTGCTTCCCTGCCTCGGCCTCACCCTCGGCCTCGAGGAAAAGCTAAGAGGCGTCTCAGAAGGGGTGGTCGGGGGTCCTGGGGCCCAGCGGGACCTCTCCAAGCCGCAAGTGGGTGCCTTGAGCAGGGACCAAGTCCCTGGGAAGGGCATTTTGATTAATTCTTTGGTGGAGAAGGATTACGTAACCATGAAGGCGTTTAAGAGCTTGGGAGAGGGTCGCCTCAAGTTCTTCTCTGTCTTGGGTAGTTTTCCAGAGCTGGTTTTGCCTTTTATCCAGTAAAGAGTTAGAAATCACTGCTTTCCTTTCCTTTCTTGATTTTTTTTAAAAAAAACCATATTTGGAGTCCAGTTTACCTTGAATATCCAGAATGGTCATTTAAGGAGGTCTCTAACATGTGAAACCAAGAGATTCCAAAAGCATGTCCCAGGACCCTGTTTCTGCCTTTACCAAGAATCTACTATGTGCCAGGAACTGGATCTTGTGAAGTAGGGGGTCACTGTCCCGTTTTTAACAGATGCTCAGAGGGGGATGTTGCTTGCTTGAGGTCATAGGCTGGTCTGTTTGACTCTGAAGCATACGCTTTGGAGTGCTGACATTTGGCTGTTGCAGCTGGCGAACTGGGTTTTTTTCCAGCAGGAAAGAAAATTCCAGCATGGTTGTACACTTTGCCAGTGGAGGAACTACAAATGTTAGCTTTTTTAGGTGAAGGATTCTCCCAGCAGAGGTGGCCTGGCAAACATATGTGCCCTGTCTCTAAATGATGGCAATACCTGAAGAACCCACTATGTCCTGGACTAGGGGGTTGGGAGACTGGACTTGTGTGACCCAGAGAGTCCCCCACCATCTCTGGACCTGTTCCCTTGTCTGAAAATAGATGTTTTATAAAAATTTCTGAGATGGAGTTTCGCTCTTTCGTCCAGGCTGAAGTGGCACGATCTCGGCTCACAATAACCTCCACCCCCCGGGGTTCAAGCCTCAGCCTCCTGAGTAGCTGGGATTATAGGTGCCCACCACCATGCCCAGCTAATTTTTGTATTTTTAGTAGAGAAGGGGTTTCGCCATGTTCGCCAGCTTTGTCTCAAACCCCTAACTTCAGGTGATCCACCTGCCTCGGCCTCCCAAAGAGCTAGGATTACAGGTGTGCGCCTGGCCTTGAAAAAATATCTCAAGGGCCTGCCCAGCTCTGAATATCTATGACTTAGGGTGACTGTCAGGTGGCTGATTTTCGGTACATAAAAATCATCAAAGTACCCGATGGCTGTTAGTGACCTGCTAGGCATTTACATAATCATCATAACAACTTCATTATTTTAGTACCATTATGATCTCCAATTTGCAAATGAAGTCATCTACCCAAGGTGATGGAGTTGGTGAGGGGGGCATGCTGGGATTGGAATCCAGGTTGTCTGACTCCAGGCATGAATTCTGGAGCCAGCCATACTGTGTCTGAGTCCCAGTTTTGCCATCTGTGCAAGGGCCTATAGGTTCCCTGAGCCTCAATTTACTCATCTGTGAAATGGGCTCAGTAATGCCTGCAATGCAGGGCTGCTCTGAGGACCAAACGAGGTAATGAATGTAAAGCACTCAGTGACTAGCCCGCAACAGGGAGCTATTATTATACTTGAAGCAGTAATGCTGGTTTGAGTAACCCCTCTCTTTTTTTGAGACAAAGTCTCGCCCTGTGGCCCAGGCCGGAGTGCAATGGCGAGATCTTGGCTCACTGCAACCTCTGCCTCCGGGTTCAAACAATTCTCCTGCCTCAGCCTCCCGAGTAGCTGGGATTACAGGCACCCGCCACCACGCCCAGCTAATTTTTATATTTTCAGTAGCCACGAGGTTTCACTATGTTGGCCAGGCTGGTCTTGAACTCCTGACTTCGTGATCCACCCACTTCGGCCTCCCAAAGTGCTGGGATTACAAGTGTGAGCCACTGTGCCCGGCCAGGGTAACCCCTCTCTTTGAGCTGAAGCCATGACACTATTCTTTGGTAAGAAATTTGGGGGGATGGAGACTGACTGCCTTGGGAACAGAGACTATGCATAATTGCATTAAACACTGCACAGCAGCTGGTGTGGTACCTGGTAAGCTGTATGAGATAGGTTCATAAACTTTCTAAAATATCCCCCAAGGATGTGCCGCCCTAATCCCCAAAGCTTGTGTATGTGACGAGCTATTATACGCCTTACATGTTAAAAGAGGGAGATTATCCTGGATTAGTCAGGTAATAATCGTATGAGTCCTTAAAAGCAGACACTTTCTCTGACTGGTGGCAGAAGGCGAAGTCAGAGGGATCCGAACCCAAGTCAGATTTGCTGCCCCACTCTTGGCTGGGAGATGGAGGGCTCCTGTGATGAGGGATGAGGGAACCTTTTAGAAGCTGAGAGGGTGACAGCCAGCAAGGAAACAGATCTTGGTCCTGTAGCCATGAAGAGCTGAGCTCTGCCAACAATCTATGTGGAGGCTGGAAGTAGACTTTTCTCTAAGTCCTCCAGATAAGAGTTTGCTCAGCTGACATCTTGCCTTTAGCCTCATGAGACCTTGAGCAGAACCCAGTTGGGCTGAAAACCCTGCCAGCACTTTTGGCTCACAGATCTGTGAGGTCATACATGGGTGTTTTAAGCTGTTAAATTGGTGGCAATTTGTTATGCAAGAATAGAAAACAAATACCATAGCTATAGAAACAGAAAGCACTCACTACAAAAACTTATGGAGGTCGGGCGTGGTGGCTCACGCCTGTAATCCAAGCACTTTGGAGGCCAAGGCGGGCACATCACCTGAGGTTGGGAGTTCAAGACCAGCCTGACCAACATGGTGAAACCCTGTCTTAAAAAAAAACAAAAAACAAACAAACAAAAAAACTTACTGAGCTTGAATTATTCCCATTTTAGAGATGGGAGCAACTGAGGATCCCAGAAGTAAAGGGTCTTCCCAAGGTCATTCATAGCTAGTAAATGGTGTAGCATCTAATGCCAAAACCCAGGTACTTAGTAATTAACCTACTTATGCTTAGTGTTCCATTATTGGAACGCTAAGTGTGTGGAAGTTATTTATATCCTACTGCTCAAGTTCACCACTAAGGTCTGATTTTTCACTCATGCAAAAATTTAAAAAAATTGCAACCTGTGGCATAAAAGGGTTAATTTCTACAAATGGCTGAGATTCTGGTCAGTGGGATGGTGTCCCCTGATAAAGGAAGACAAACTGATAAAGTGTCCCAAGGGCCTGGGAGTCCTCAGTGTCACAGACTGAGAGTACCCATCTCACCTACCTGGCAGAAAGGGAATGATCCGCTGCTTAGGGTCCTTCTGTCCTCCTTCCATGGGAAATTTGTCCAACATCTGCATCTAAATAGGGGGGAGAACACCAAAAACAGAAACCTTTCATAGTACAATAAACAACATCTCGGACCTTTTAAAGGAATGATGTGAAATATATGATGCGACCAAAAAGGTCACTTCATTCAGCTTTCCAGAAACCCAAACTAACGGAAAAGGCAATTTCAACTGGATCTAGAAACTCCATAAAACAATGTTTATGTCGACAGCTGCCAGATTTGTGAAGGTTCAGACTTAGGAGAGACCATTCCTGGCTTTCCTGGGGTTCTCTATCCACAGGATCTGAAACGTGAACAATAGTCTCAGGGCCACCAGGATTTCATGGACAGCAGGTCATCCTGTTTTTTAAGAATTGCTGGGTTGAGGTAAGGAATAAATCACTAACATTCAATCAATGTGGTTAGGTTTACGCTTATGAGAGCACTGTATTCCTCTGACCCAGAAAGAATTCCCCACGTTGGCTCAACAGACAGCTTTGGGCCTGGCTCTGTGCTAGAGGTACAGGGTACAGCAAGGAAAAGATTCGTAGTCTAGAGAGAGGGCTGGGAAGAAACTGATCATTACAAGGTGGTGTAAAGAGAGGGAGGTGGGCCGGGTGTGGTGGCTCAAGCCTGTAATCCCAGCACTTTGGGAGGCCGAGGAGGTGGATCACGAGGTCAAGAGATCGAGACCATCCTGGTCAACATGATGAAACCCCGTCTCTACTAAAAATACAAAAAATTAGCTGGGTATGGTGGTGCGTGCCTGTAATCCCAGCTATTGGGGAGGCTGAGGCAGGAGAATTGCCTGAACCCAGGCGGCGGAGGTTGCGGTGAGCCGAGATTGCGCCATTGCACTCCAGCCTGGGTAACAAGAGTGAAACTCCATCTCAAAAAAAAAAAAAAAAAAAAGAGAGGGAGGCGTAGGCTGCTGTGGGGGAAGAGGAGCAGGAGGGCAGACTCCCCAAAACAAAACATTTATGGTACATAGTACCATAAATGTATCTCTGACACTTCAAGGACTTAATGTGAAATATCTGATTTGGCACACAAAATCACAAGGATCTGCTACTTACTCCCCATATAATCTTAGGAAAGTGACATAACCCTTTAGGTCCTCATCTTTAAGCCTGCCATAAGGACACCAACATGCAGCATTATTTTATGGATTAAAAGTGGGCTGCGGAAGTCATTAATGCTGTTGTCAAGTATTTCTGGTTCTTTTTCTGAGTACATGGTAGATTTGTACTTTCCCCAGTCCCTTGAAGTGGGATGTGGCCAGTTCCATGTGAGCTGGAGACATGTGTCACTTCGGGGTGGAAGATGATGATTGGTGTATGCTTCCCCACTTGCTATTTCCCTCTTCCACGGGGACTCACCATGCTCCACTCGAGCCTGGCTGCTCTGCTGGCCACAGTCATGGGATGAGGTCCAAAGACCCCAGTGACCTCTGCTGGACATGTGGCCTGAGTGAGCTACGACAATTGTTGTACAGTGAGGTTATTTGTGTGAGCACCATCTTAACTACCCTGTTTAGTACTTGGGTCAAGGAATCAAAGCAGATGGGGAGGCAGTCTCAAGCCTCGAGGAGTTATGGTTGGAATGTGAAAACTGAAAAGCCTGCTCATGGGAAAGTCACTCTGGCACTCAAGATCCATCCCTCTCCTGTAATAAAAGAAGAACTGAAAAGTCCAGGAGAAATATGTGCAGCTATCGTGTAGGCATTTGGGGAGGAGGGGAGGACCTGAAGTGGGAGAGGCGAGAGATACATATATTGAACACCCACCGTCTGCTAGACATGGGCTAGGTTCTTTAGAAACATTCCCTCATTACATCCTCAGATCATTCCTCTAAGGAAGACATGACTGCCCAGGAAACTCACGGCCTGTAGCCAACAAATAGGAGGGACCAGAGGCTGAAGACCACTTGCTTCTTTATCATCAAATCACCCCCCTCTGAAATGCTGTGAAGACAATTAAAAAGGACAGGGCTGCTTTTCCAGGCTGGAGCTCCCAGCCTCTTCGGTGCTGTTCTACAGGGCGCCCTGGGCAGGTGGGTCAGCCTCAGCTTGGCTGGGCATACTGGAAGCTGCTGGGACGCACGGCCTTGACCCAAAAGTCTTTAAACTTTTAAACTGTGGGTTTTCTTTTTCCGTCTTCTCTCTTTTTCTCCTTGGTCTCTAGCTAGAAGTTTATTAATCTTTATCATTTCAAAGAACTTACTTTTAGTTTCACTATTTTTCTTTATTGTTTTTCTGTTCTCAATTTCTTCTTTTTGGAGACAGGGTTTGCTCTGTCAGCCAGGCTGGAGTGCAGTGGCACAGTCACAGCTCACTGCAGTCTCGATCTCCCCAGGCTCTGGTGATCCTCCCATCTCAGCATCCAGAGTAGTTGGGACTATAGGTGTGTGCCACCATGCCAGGCTTCTTTTTTTGTATTTTGTAGAGATGGCTTTTGCCATGTTGCTCAGGCTGTCAATCTCTTATCTTAATTACTGCCTTCCTTTTGTTCCCTTTGGGTTATCACTTTTTTCTTTCTTTGAGACTAAGTTTCCCTTTTTTTGCCCACGCTGGAGTGCAACGATCACGGTCTCGGCTCACTACAACCTCCACCTCCCAGGTTCAAGCAATCCTCTTGCCTCAGCCTCCCAAGTAGCTGGGATTATAGGTGCACACTGCTATGCGCGGCTAACTTTATAGTTAGTAGAGACTATAACATGGTTTCACCATGTTGGCCAGGTTGGTTTTGAACTCCTGACCTCAAGTGATCCACATACCTTGGCCTTCCAGTGTTGGGATTACAGGCGTGAGACACCATGCCTCACCTGGGTTTTCACTTTCTAGTTTCTTTTTAATTTTTAAAACTTAATTTTTAATTGACACATAATAATTGTATATATTCATGGGGTACATTAGTAATGTTGTGATTCACATAATATGTAGTGATCACATCAGCATATTTAGCATATCCATCATCTCCAACATGTATCATTTATTTGTGTTAGAAATATTCAATGTTGGCGGGGCACGGTGGCTCACGCCTATAATCCCAGCAGTTTGGGAGGCCAAGGCGGGTGGATCACCAGGTCAAGAGATCGAGACCATCCTGGCAAACATGGTGAAAACCCGTCTCTACTAAAAATACAAAAATTAGCTGGGCATGGTGGTGTGCGCCTGTAGTCCCAGCTACTCGGGAGGCTGAGACAGGAGAATTGCTTGAACCCAGGAGGCGGAGGTTGCAGTAAGCCGAGATCACGCCATTGCACTCCAGCCTGGGTAACAAGAGCGAAACTCCGTCTCAAAAAAAAAAAAAAAGAAATATTCAATGTGTTCTTTCTAGTTATTTGAAACTATATAATACACTATTGTTAACTACAGGCATCCCACAGTGCTATCCAACAGTAGAAATGGCCTGGTATGGTGGCTCACGCCTGTAATTCCAACACTTTGGGGAGGCTGAGGTTGGTGCATCACCTGAGGTCAGGAGTTCGAGACCAACCTGGCTAACATAGTGAAACCCTGTCTCTACAAAAATACAAAAAAAAAATAGCTGGGCATGGTGGTGGGTTCCTGTAATCACAGCTACTAGGGAGGCTAAGGCAGGAGAATCACTTGAACCCGGGAGGTGAAGGTTACAGTGAGCCAAGATCACGCCATTGCACTCTAGCCTGGGCAACAAGAGCTAAACTCCGTCTCAAAAACAAAACAAAATAAAAAGCCCCAAACACTGGAACTTATTCCTCCTATATGGCTGTGACTTTGTATCCTTTCACAAATCTCTATCTCCCCACTTCTCAGCCTCTAGTATCCTTTGTCCTACTTTTTACTTTTATGAGATCAACTTTTTTAGCTTCTACATGTAAGTGAGAACTTCTGTTCCTGGCTTATTTCACTTATCATAATGTCCTCCAGTTGCATCTATGTTGGTGCAAATGACAAGATTTCCTTCTTTTTGATGGCTGAATAGTATTCAATTGTGTAAGCATACCACATTTTCTTCTTTCTTTTTTTTTTTTGACAGAGAGTTTCACTCTTATCGCCCAGGCTGGAGTGCAATGGCTCAATCTCAGCTTACTGCAACCTTCGTCTCCTAGGTTCAAGTGGTTCTCCTGCCTCAGCCTCCTCAGTATGTGATACTACAGGCATGCACCACCAAGCCTGGCTAATTTTTGTATTTTTAGTAGAGATGGGGTTTCACCATGTTGGTCAGGGTAATCTCGAACTCCTGACCTCAGGTGATCCACCCACCTCGGCCTCCCAAAGTGCTAGGATTAGAGGCATAAGCCACCTCGCCCGGCCCAGACCACGATTTTTTTTATTCATTCATCTGCCGATGGGCACTTAGGTTGATTCCACACCTTGGCTGTTGTGACTAGAGCTGCAATAAACATGGGATGTATTATCTCTTAGAAATATTGATTTTCTTTCCTGTGGATAAATGCCCAGTGGTGGGACTGCTGGATCACATGGTAGGTCTCGTTACAGTGTTTTGAGGAACCTCTACATTGTTTCCCATGGTGGCGATACCAGTTTATGTTCCCACCAACTACTTATAAGTGTTCCCTTTTCTCTACATTCTTGCCAGTATTTTAACCATGTGGTTTTATTTGTGGTTTCTAGTCATTATCCCCTGCTCAGTGTTGCCTGGTGAGGTGGAAATGCTTGGTCCACTGTCATTCAGAGACAGGTGAGGCCACACTGGGGCCTTGCTGGAAAAGGCAGCCTTTCTTTTGCGAATCCAAGAGCTCTTCAATGCCAGCACATAGTAGGTACTCAATAAAAACTGGTTGAACCGGATGTTGCTAGGGGGACGTTGTGAGTCGGGAGGACAAGGGGGTATGCCCTATACTTTCCAGTCAATTTTTCTGAGAACCTAAAACTTCTTTAAAAACAGAAGTTTATTAATTTAAAAAAAAAAAAAGGACTGAACCAATGAATGCAAGTAAGTGAATGGTTTGGGAGGCAACTTCAGGAGATGCTTGCTAAGTAACTCTGAGGAATAATATTCATATTACTAATATTAAATAATTAGT